ACTCCACCTCCAGCACCCACCTCCCAGGGTCCTCTTCCCTTGTCCTCGTTCTCTGCTCTCTCCAGGAGCTCATCACCGCCTGGTACATCGGCTTCCTGACCCTCATCCTTTCTTCGTTTCTTGTCTACCTGGTGGAGAAAGACGTGCCGGAGGTGGATGCGCAGGGAGAAGAGATGAAAGAGGAGTTTGAGACCTATGCAGACGCCCTTTGGTGGGGCTTGGTGAGTCACCCCTTGCAAACCCCCTCCCCCACCATGGGGATGGCCTGTTATCCACAGGGAGAGATGGGCGGCTGCACTCTGCAGTCACAGTGAGAGCGAGACCGCCTCCATTTCCCGTCCTGCCCCTGGGCGACCCCTCACAGGCTGCACGCTTTGAACAAGCAGGCTTTCCATCGTGTTTATAAGGAGTCAGGCCTCGCAGCAGTCTGGTCCCAGGGTCACTAGGGCCCTTACCTCGTTAGTTGTAGGCTGTTAACAACCAAGCCACACGTGTACAAACACACACGGTGACACAGGCCTTCAGACACACCTAGCGACTCAGCCCCACACCCACAGGGACACGTGGCACAAGGTGGCACCTGCCAAAGGCGTACTTGCTCCAGAGCGTTGCTTTAGGTACGTCACCTTTATTAACACAGTTTAAACTCAAACAACTCTTATTGGACCCTTTATAAACGGGGAAACTGAGGCATGAAGCAGGTAAGGAACTGATTCAAGGCAGACCCTGAGCCAGTCAGTGGTTGACCTGGGATTTGAACTCCGGCTGTTGGGCTGCGGAGGCCAAGCTCTTATCAGCTTTGCTCTCTTGCCTCCTGGGTTCACAAGTACATGTGTTCACGTTAATACATGTGATCACACACAGGAGTGCACAGCACATAGCAGACATTGGACACGCACACCTGTGTCCACAATACATGTAAATGCACTCACAAGCACACATACTCGGTAACGTGGCTATACACAAAATCACACAAATACACGTAGGTACATGCACAAACATGTTTGCAGTTACTGAAACATTTGTGAGTCGTCGACTATAGGTAGGAAATCCTTAACTCAGGGCAGGTGTGCCCTCAAGGGCCCCATGTAAGTTCCTTGATACTTGGTAGCTTTTCTCCTATGGGATCTCATTCTAAATGGTCACAGCCCCCCGCCCCCAAGTCAGTACAGAGGCTGATATGATGGGGGGAGCTCAGGGATACACCCCTGGTTTCCCTCTCTCTGGGGACCCCACGTCTGAGCCCCTCTCTCTTCAGATCACACTGGCCACCATTGGCTACGGAGACAAGACCCCCAAGACGTGGGAAGGCCGTCTGATCGCAGCCACCTTCTCCCTCATCGGCGTCTCCTTCTTTGCCCTGCCGGCCGTGAGTACCTCAGTGTGCACCCGAGTGCACACACAGGACCCTCCCTGCCTGGCCCCGCTCTGCGTGTCACCTCACCTTCCGTCCTTTCACGCCATGACCTCCAGCGCTGCCCACTCACTAGCCATCCCTGCAGCGTGGTTTCTGCTCTCTGCCACGCGCTGTGCTGGTCCCTTTGCCAGGAGTGAGTCCTCCTCCAAGACCCAGTGTCCCCGCTGCCGTCTTCAGACTGCTCAGTCGCTCCCTCCTCTGGCATAACCCTGGAGGGCATCTCCGAGCCTGTCCTGGGATTGCTCAGCTCCATGTCTGCGGAAAAACTGAGCCACACAGATAACAGACGTGCTCAGGGCCTCACGGCTGAAAAGTGGCAGAGTCAGGAAGTGCCGAGTGGCAGAAGTGGCGGGCAGAGCGCCACTAAGCTGCAGAGGCAGGCCTCCCAGACTGCAAGGCTCCATTTCACCCAGCGGCCTCCTCCCCTTCTCCCCAGCACCCAGTGTTGTCACTGCGGCCGGGAGCGGGGTGGGTTCCCAGGAGCATCTGGGGGGCTGACTCCGAGCCTGACTTTCCCTCCAGGGCATCCTGGGGTCCGGGCTGGCGCTCAAGGTGCAGGAGCAGCACCGGCAGAAGCACTTTGAGAAAAGGAGGAAGCCGGCTGCTGAGCTCATTCAGGTCTGTCTGCTGCGGGTGAGCTGGATGGGATTAAATATGTGTGCATGCCTGGTGCATGTGTGCACACATATGGGTGTGTGAACATGTATGTGGTGGCATGTGCGTGTATGTGGGCATGTGTACGTGTGTGTGTGTGCTTGTACAGGAGTGGGCATGCCCGTGGTCTGGGACCCAAACCAGGACCAGCTTGCACATGGGTGGCTGTGGTGTTTCTGTGGTTGTCTGTAAGACCGGGCTCGGTGGGTGCTTAGTGACAGTCCTATCCCTCTTCCTTCCGGGTTCTAAGCCAATCAGGAAATAGACCATCTCAGGACTCAGACCAACCATCTGCTGTGTTTTTTAAAATATGTTTTTATGAATTTTAGAGAGAGAGAGAGAGAGAGAAACATCAGTGAGAGAGAGACATCAATCGACTGCCTCTTGCACGCCCCCCCCCCCACTGGGTATTGAGCCTGAAACCTGGGCATGGCTCCGACTGGGAATCCATCTGCTGACCACTTGGTGCCTGGGTCAACACTCAGCCACTGAGTCACACCGGCCGGGCCCATCTGCTGTTTTACTAACTAAGCTGCAGTGGAGAATTTGGGTCTTTCTACCCCCCACCCCAGTCTTGACTGGGGGACCCACCAGGAAGTCAGCCTGGCGCCCAGGAGCTGAGCCAGTCGCTGCAAGGAGGTGTGGCCTCACCTCTGCCACGGCTCGGCTCCGGAGCCCATAAGCCAGAGAGGAAGAGAGGCCTTACACGGGGACTGAAACTCACGCTGTGTTCTGCTGTCACGCATCCTGCGGCAGTGCTGCTGGCTTCCTGCCGGCTCTCCATGGCCAGCACGCCCCGCCCTGGGCTGGAGGCTGGGACGATGGTGAGAGGCAAAGGCAGGAGTGCTCCCATCACGTCAGAGGGACTTCGTGCTTCGAGGCCTCCTGGCCGTGGGGAGCACAGAGAACGGGAGAGTGGAGAGTCCTGGCTGCGGCTGCATGGGACTGAATGGCCACCCACTCGTGACTTGTGTCCGGGTAGTGTCTCCGTGGGTGTGATATGGGATGGTCCTAGATGCTACCCTACACACTGTCGTTTCCAGGCCAGCCCCAGTCTCCAAGAGTGGACACCATGACCCCCCAACCCCACACCATCCCAGTATCCAGAAATTCTAGCACATTAGCCTCAAACCCCCTCTCCGCTGTCTCCTGCACCCAGAAGTGGCACCAGAGACAATATTTGTCTTCCTATGGATTTGAGAGTCTCTCCCTCCAAGGGCATGAGCCATGCGCTAAGGCTGGGGACCATGTGAGCAGTCAGGTGACACCAGGTCGGTCTCTTCTCCCCGCAGGCTGCCTGGCGGTACTATGCTACCAACCCCAACAGGATCGACCTGGTGGCCACGTGGAGGTTCTATGAGTCAGTCGTCTCTTTTCCGTTCTTCAGGCAAGTGGTGGGTGACCCATCTGGACCGCTCAGGCGTGGCCAGCTGCCCCTCCCATGGGTCTGCATTGGTGCCCATGGGCACACATTAGAATCACAGGGAGCTTAAAAACTCCCAGGGACCAGGGTGATTAATCAGACTCCCCCGGAGGGGACTCAGGCATCAATATTGATCGGCTGCCTCCTGTACACCCCATACTGGGAATGGAGCCCACAACCCAGGCATGTGCCCTGACTCGGAATCAAATTGTGATCTGCTGGTTCATAGGTTGACGCTCAACCACTGAGCCACGCCAGCCGGGCAGGCATCATTTTTAAAGAAACCCCAGATGACTCAGGGTGCCAATGTTGAGTGGCTGATAAGGGAAGGTCGTATCAATGTTTGAGTGGGATCAGTGGCTGAGGAAGTGGGGAGCCAGTGTGAGGGGCCACCCTGGCAATGCATGCTCCCCCTACCCCACATGGCCTGCACCTGCTGCCACTCAGGATGCTGAGAACAGCCAGGTGGAAGAAGCTGCAGGAGGGACCCTCAGGGGACCCCAAGATGTCATTTTGTGTTCTCAGAAGGGGAGAGGAAAGGAAGGGAAAAAATAAAAACCCCTTCCATGGCCAGCACCTGGGAAAGGGCGGGAGAAATTAGTGTTTATTAGATGTGCACTACGGTCCAGACCTCCAAGTTCAGGTTTCAGTGAATCCTCACAGGCGCCCTCCAAAATGAGTGAGAGGTTCTCAAGTGTAAGGCACGTTGCCATGGAAATGGGAAGGGCCTGGTAGAGCGGGTAAAGGTGGGCACAGTGGGGAGGGAGGACTAGAGGAGAGAGCAGGGCGGAGGGCATGGGCTCCGAATCACAGGCGGAGGATTGGCCATCGTCAGCAGGACCCTTCATCGTCATCGTTGGCACAGAAGGGAAGCCGGTGGGTGGGGCCAGGTGTAAGAGGTGGTGTGTTTGGAGGTGAGACCATGGGGCAGATCTTGGGGAGAGGTGAGTCAGGGTCGAGGGCTGGGGAGGGGGTAGTGGGGAGTGTGATGATGGAGAAGGCCTGAGCTCATGGTCTGGGAGAAGGAGAAAGGATGGGAAGGGATGCCCCTCATTCTTTAACACTGCTCCCCAGTCCTCCTCCTCCTGTCTTCCCTCAGCCCACTCCCTCACCCTCTCCCTCTGTCCTCGTGCTTCAGGAGGGAAAATGGGCCAGAGGCTGTGTGGCCAGCCCAAGGCCAGACTGGAACCAGATGTTGAACTGACCATGAACTAGAAATTCCTAACTCTCCAGCTGTCCCTGTACTCCGCTACCACGATGCCTCTTCTCTCCCCATTTCTCCCCTCCCCCTTCCCAGCGATAGGCCAGTTATTCCCTCAGTGTTTACTGTGCACGCACCGCGGGCCAGGGTGTGGGGTGCTCAGATTTTGGAGCTAAAAATACCGAGGCTCTGGCCCCAAGCAGTTCATGGGCTACCACGTAATTCTGACACCGCGCGATCTGAACACAGTCCCACCTGAGAGATTAGCTCAGTGTAGACCCTGGGAATTGGATAAAAAACACACAAAAAAAGGGGGGCCCTTTCTGCTGGAACGCTAAGGATGAGCGTGGCTATCCCAGGCAGGGGAAAGAGGCAGGGAGTTCCTGGCAGAGCCTGAGTGAAGGCTCAGAGTCACAAATGTGTGCAGAGCACACTCGGCCTCGTGGTTAGTAGTATGGGCACCGAGCCAGGTGGCCTGGGTTTGAGTCCTGACTCCTGCTTCCTAACTGTGAGACCTCGAGCAATTCCCGTAACCTCTCTGTGCCTCAGTTTTCTCATCAGGAAAATGGGCATGATAATACTTACTCCATAGGGTTGGTATCCATAAAAAGCACTTATAATGGTCTCTGCCTGTTAATTATTGCTCAGTAATATTTGCCATGATGATATCGACTATGGTGATGATGGTGGTGACAGAGTGATGGGTGTGTAGCTGCTAAATGATGACATTCCTGGTTCCCTGGTCTGTCCCCATCACTAGACAGATGCCCTGAGCCCAGCACAGGGCCTGGGGCAGAGAAGGTGCTCGGCAACCATTTTCTAGATGAGTGAATGGATGGATGGATGAATGGCTGAGAAGAGCCTTGAGCGGGCAGAGCAGCAGGGGCCTGGGGTCTAGCTGGAGACGCCCATCTCATTCAGTGGGTCCCCTCCAGACTCACCGCCTCGCCCTGGAGTTCCTCTCTCTCCCTCTGCCTTCATCAAAGGGAAGCTGGGGGGCACATTTTGGGGCAAGGGTTCTGTATAATTCATGCTCTATTTCTCTCTCCCTCCTCGCCTTATAGGAAAGAACAGCTGGAGGCAGCAGCCAGGTACGTTTCTGATTGTGAATTTCTTTTCCACTGCTGTGTCCCGACAGAGGGCCCAGCTCTGTGTGGTGTAGGGCCCCTGGGCGGCCATGCTGGTCACGGAGAGAGTTTGGGAACCACTATTCCCTGTCCCAGTTTCATGTTAATTTACTCCAGGACACCTTCCTGGTGATAACAGCCACGCCACTTGCTAAGTTTGTCCTCGAGGTGGATTCGGTGCCGGGAGTCCTGTACCCGCTCTCTCAGGGGGTCCTCCCCACCACAGTGCATCCCCCGAGCCTCACGTTTAGACTGAGGAGATGGGGGCTCACTCCCTCTGGGTCACCCGGCTCACTGAGTGACAGACCAAAATTCAAACTCAGGTCTGAACACGAAGACCATGGTACTTCATTATGTGTCGCTTCCTTTGCTCCCGGGGCCCCCGAGTGGCTCTTTGAAAAGGGAGTCAGGACTGGAATTCGTGGCCCCACAGCTGTGGGCGCCCTGGTGAGGCTGTGAGCCTCCTCTGTCCCTCCCTCTGGCTCCCTCTAGGGAAGATGCCATGAAGCAGGGAGCCTGGACCTGCTCGAGGCTGTGAAGCAGGACCGTCCCTGCCAACGTCAGCTTAGATATGTGTTTGCTCTATTATGTGGACAGACTGCTTGGGGACCTTGTGCTCAGTCTCCTAGACGGTCAGCTCAACCACGTCCTTCTGCAGCGGGCAGAGGAGGTGGCAGGGCCCTGGACCAACTTGTAGGGGAACCACTTGGGGACAGTGGTCTGTGGGAAACTGGGTCCGTCCTTCCGAATGGGGTCCATGGTACCCTATCTCCTCCATCACCCCACCTTAAAGAGACCCTTACAGACGGCACTGAGCTCCCAACAGAAGCAATGCCGCCTTCTTTGTGCCTCTTTTCAAAGGATGCGCGTTTCTTTCCTGGACCCAGTTTGGGCTGTAGGGGGCGCTGGGGGATACTGCCGAGGAGGCTCAGGGGACATCTGCAGGGGAACTGCAGAGGCAGAGCGGGGAGACACCTCAGAGGGGTGCTTTTACAGAAGCCGAGCCTCCCAGGGGGGGAAGGCTCACCCCAAGTTACAGGGCCTGTGAGCTCCGGGGGTGACACAGCCAGGTCTCAGGACTCCCAGCGGGATGCTCTTTCCCCTCCTTCTCTCAGGACCAACAGGGTTTTAAATCATGCAAGTGTTGATACTGCAAGTTACTCAGTCTACCTTAGGAGCCTTTTCTGAACCGGCATGAACAGAATTCAGCCAAACTGGAACGTCCATGCCCAAATCACAGTGCACTGGGTTAATGAAGGCCAGAGAGAGGCATTTTGAAGCTTACAGAAAAAGTGGGTGGGTGGATGATGGATAGGCAGACTCTACATTCTATGAGTGTCAGAGACCCAACTTAAATGACCTTGGACTGGGAGGAAAATGTCATGGCTCAAGTCACCCATCAGACGTGCTGGGAACCCATGGCAAACAAGGAATGGGACCTTCTGGGATTCCTCCCTTCTCTCGCCTCTGCTTCTCTTTGTGGTCTCACTCTTTCGGCCAACCTTCGCCATCCTGATAAAGTGTGGGTGCAGGCAGCCCCAGGAGCCTACATTTTTTCTTTGCACGCAGCTCCAGTGCAAAAATTCCCAGGGAAGCCCTTGGGTCGGCCCAATTTGTGTCCCACATGCACACTTTGGACAGACTCTCTGGCTCAGAGAGTGAGAAGCCACTGCCAGCCCAACCCTGGGCCATGTGTCCACTGTTAGAGTGACTGGGTGTGAGGTCACGATGCTATGATTGGCAGCTCCCGTTAGAGTCACTTGATTGAAGTTGGACAATCAGTTCCCCAATAGAATACGGTCCTTTTCCCTGAAAAACAGGGATGAAACATAGAGCAGACAAAAATCACAGTTGCCCCTGACAGGCATCAGTTCTATCCATAAATTCTTAACCCCCTAAAAACAATATTGCATTACACACCATCAACAATAAACCCCTCCGAGCCTCATTTATTCCACAGATTGCACCAGAAAAGACCAGTGTGTTGTGTGCGGGACATCATGTGTCCTCGTGTGTGTGTGTGTTTATTATTGATTTCATAGAGGAAGGGAGGAGCAGAGAGAGACAGAAACATCAGTGATGAGAGAGAATCATTGATTGGCTGCCTCCTTCACACCCCTTACTGGGGATCGAGCCTGCAACTCAGGCATGTGCCCTAGTCCAGAGTCGATCCCAGGACCCTTCAGTTCGCAGGCCGATGCTCTATCCACTGAGCAACACCGGCTAGGGCTGGGACATCATTTTAAGCATCAGTTAGGACTGTTCATTAGACAGGCAGCACGGCTGATGATCAGGGGCATTTGTTTGATAGAAACTAGCATTTTCAAACGTTCAAAACAGGTACCTGTTGACAATGCTGTTTACTGGAGCCCAGTCGTTCACTTTGTATTTCCGAGCAGTTCAGTCTGAACAGCAGCCTTTGGGCTGTCTCTGCATTCGTCTTTGGAGAGGGAAGCAGTGTGTTCCAGGCAGCTTCTTTATCTCCTGTCTTGTATTATGTCCTTCCCGGCACAGCTGTCAGATTTAGTAGACGATCATTCTTTGGATCAGAGAATTCAAGCATCATAACAGTCATTTATAAAGAATGCTCACGGCTTGCCGGGTATAGTTCTAAGCACATCCAGCCTCACAGTGAGCCCTTGAGTAGAAGCTATTTTTAACCCCCATTTTACACGTGAGAACACTGCGGTTCAAAGAGGCAAGTGACTTGCACAAGGTTATACAGCTAAGAAAGTTGCGAGAGCAGGACGTGGCCTATCTTTGTAGTTCATGGCCTCAGCCACTGGCAGTTGGGAACTGTTAACCTAATCTGTTGTTTTGTTTTCTTCTGCCTTTTCTTGGCTCACGTAGCTGGAGTCCCTGCCATGAGGCAGGGAAAGGCTCGGAGACAGGATACACTACTGAGGGAAGGAGCATCGGCAGGCGCTATAATTCAGGCTTTGCCTTCTCCCTGTGACATCAGCCACATGAAATTCATCTCCCGGGGTGATGGAGGATGTTGGCCATAAACCTCCTTCCGTGCCCCGGAATTAATGACTGTTAAAGGTGTGCAGGAATCGAAAGCTCAATTAAGCCAAGCCCCTCATTTTACTGATGAGAAAATTATTACCCGGAGCAAAATAAGAGCCTGGCCCCATTCCGACCGCTGTTAGTATTTTCTGCCATCCAGACCCTGCCAATGGGGCCAGGCTGCAAGTAACTGAGATGCAGAGGCGAGGCCTGGGCCCATCTAACCTCCGAGGGATTCCCGGCACGTGCTAAGGGCTCGGTCTCACTTCTCCTTTTGGAACATGCGGGAGTGCCCATTGACAGCACCCCATTCCCTCTGAATTAGGAACCAATCGAAAAATAGACAGGAGTTTCTGCGAGAATCAAAGTACAGGCTACGTGCTGGCTCTGGGGGCGACAGTGAGCGTCCTAGCCCTCCCCACTATGTCCAGCCACGTTTCGGATAAAGAGTCATTTAGATGACAGGAGGGTGGAAGGTTTCCCGGGAACAGGTCACAGCAGGTGCAAAGGCCCGGAGGTGTGCAGTCAGGGAGCTGCCCAGGGGTGGGGCTGGACTTCCCTGGGGCTGAGAGCTGAGTCAGGACCCCCTGCCGCCTCCCTCAGGACAGAACAATCTTGAGTTGACCTTTCCGTCCCCAACCCATTGAGTTGCAGTTTTCCCAGTTCACGTTTCAGGATCGCCTGTCCTCACTTACCCGGCCAGGCCCTGGCTTTCCAAGGAAATGGGGCGTCAGCTCCAGGGAGGGCTTCTCCTGCCAGGCCCGCAGCACCTCAGAGCCCGCGGCCCAAGTCCTGCCCTGGAAGTCCGAGTGGAGAAAGGCCGGGATGGGTTTGAGTTTCAGGGGTGCACTTTGCCTTGCACGTGACGATCCTTTGGGCATGTCAGATTTCAGCCAACACAACTTAGAAGTAAGCTGATCGCCCACTTTTGCTGGAGGGAGAATTCCCTAAGCCTCTTAGATGCAATGGCGGTGAGTTTGGACTTGTGGCCGCCGCCTCCGGGTTCCTAATGCTGATGAAATCACATCTTATCAGCCATCTTCTCTGAACAATGGGGCATTAAGTGAACGGAGCTCGGTCGTTCAGACAGTTCGAGGTTGCAATGAACCGTGTAAATGCCAAACCAGCGAATCCTACACTCAGCAGATAGAAGCCGGAGAGGCCTCTTATTAGCTTTCCGATAGTCAGCACTTCCGGGGCCTCTCCTGGCAGGACAGAGTGGCTGCCGATGCTTTTGTTTTGCTTATTTTAATTGGAATTAAGTCCACATAGACTTATCTCCTGCCGAGGTCAAGTTCAGTGACAATGGGGAGTATTTGAGTCTAGTGTGAATAAGTACTGTAAAATAATAGAATATTGAATGCCGATTGTAATAGGGAAATAAACAATTAAAAGGAGTGCTGTAAAATGATAGAGAGCTCCCAGGAACTCATTTCAGTTCATTAAAAAAACAAGGGCACACAACTATTTTTGTGGCCCAGGAAATGGTACCCATCCTTTCCACACATCATTAACCTTCCTAGGCTGCTGCGGGAAGAGGATTGCTAACGGAGATAATGGTGACAGCCAGCGTTTCTGGAAGGCGCTGGCATCCCAGACTGGCTGGCGCTCAGCATGCATTGCTCACTTACCCCTCAGTCAGCCGTGTGCAGCCAGGGCTGAGAGGAAGCCGGGAGCCGAGAGAATGAGTCCGGTGTCCTAGGGCACACCTGCCTCAGGACAGGCCCATGCAGCCTGCTGTTGCCCCAAAGCCCGTGGTTTTCGCTGCTGCCCTGCCCATCGGGGTGTGCCGAGCAGGGCCATGTGCTGGGTTCAGAGATAATAAGGCAACGTCTCTGCTCTGCTCGGACCACACAGTTCAGCAGATGGGCAGACGTGGGAACACGCCATCTCCACACAGTATGGCAAACTGTGACGGGAAAACACAGCGTGTCTGGGCAGCAGAGGCAGGTGCGGAATGTCCAAGGGGGACGCTCAGGCAGCCTTAAAGGGCAGGTGAGGATGAGGGCAGCTGAGAAGGCAAGAAAGGGCGTGACAAGCTGTGGGCCTGAGTGCGGCCAGCCGTGCAGGAGGCGACGGGACAGGCGAGGGCCTTGGTGGACATAGAAGGACAGACCCTCAAGACACATGGGCAGGGGCCGAGAAGAAGGGGGCCTGAGAAGTGACTGGGCCACAGCCCCCCTTTCCCACACTCATAAGTAGGGAAATCTTCCACGTGGGTGCAGCCGATTTCCTGCCTTGACAGGTCATTCTCTGTCCTGGTAGCCATTCGTCTAGTTCCGGCGAGGAAAGCAGGTTCGGAAGCTGTGACCTCAGGTCAGGGAAACTGCATTTCTCTGAATCGGCCCGGGCAGGGCATTGAGGGGTCAGTGCTGGTGAGAGCGCGAGCTGGAGGGAGTCGGGATAACAGGGCCTCAGCCATCCGCTCCCTCGTGTGTTGTGTTCTCGGGGGCCAGGCGGAAGGCAAGAAACCTGGCAGATGTTATTCTGTGTGATGCTCCCCAGACGCCTGGGAAGCAGGTGTTGTTAGACTCAGCCCGCGAGGACTTGGTGCGCAGAGAGCATAGGGCACCTGCTCGGTTGGGGGAAATGGGGGTGATCCAGCCTCCTCTGCAGCCCCAGCACCCGTGACCTCCTTGCCACGCCACCACAAAATATCAGCAGCTGGCACCATGCCCATGGCTGTCATAACCAGACACACTCTTTAGAAATGCTAATTATCTCAGTTCCATGCAGAGCTGATTCATTTGCTCACGCATTTATACCACAAGTGCACCTACTGTGTGTCAGCCCCATGTGGGGGATGGAGAGGAAGCACTGAGCTGAGTATATGGGTGTGTGGAAACATGCAGTGTGGTTTCTCTCTGCTGTGTACCACACAGAAAGGACTTCATTCCGCATGCTCACTAGGGCTAGAGGTGCAGGATCGGAAATAGAAGGCACAAAAGAAAAAACAAACAACAACAAAAAAAGAAATAGAAGGAACAAAATAATGTCTGGAGCACCTTCTATGTGACAAGCTCTATGCCAAATCCTTGACCAACATCATCTCATAGCAATCAGGTGAAGTGGGAATGCTTCTCTCCACTTTAAAGATGTGGTAACTGGGGCTCACAAATGGGCCCAAGGTCACAGAAGTGCCCAAAGGTCGTCTGGATGGTGAAGGGTAGAGCTGGACTTCAAGTCAAGGTGCGACTGGGTTTTGCACCAGGGCAACTTTACGTTTACTGGTGTTTTTGTTTTGTGTGTATGTGCCAACCACACTCTGGGCGTAGGAAGCCCAGGGACCCTTTCTCAGAATAACAACTTTTAATCCACAAGTAAAATGCATGCAACTACGAAAGAAACTGATTACAGGGAACCCTTGAATAACACCGTGCTGACCCCCACAGTCACAAATCCACCCGTACCTTTTGACTCCCCAAAAATATAACTACAGTCGTCCCTGGTATCCACGGGTATGGGTTCCAGGACCCCCGCGGATACCAGAATCCATGCGTGGCCCAGGCCCTTATATAAATGGCAAAGATCAATGCCTACAGTTGGCCCACCATGTCTGTGGATTCCCGAGTGCAGATCAGAAATACTGTTTTGATCCTCAGTTGGGTGACTCTGTGGATGTGAAACTGGGGGACACAGAGGGCCAATTTGTATAGTCTTTTTTAAAACATATTTTTCATTGATTTCAGAGAGGAAGGGAGAGGGAGAGAGAGAGAGAGAGAAACATCAGTGATGAGAGAGAATCATTGATTGGCTGCCTCCCGCACACCTCCCACAAGAAATCGAGCCCACAACCTGGGTATGCACCGTGACTGGGAATCAAACCATGACCTCCTAGTTCACAGGTCGATGCTCAACCCCTGAGCCACGCCGACCTGGCTAGCGTTTTACTAGTACATTTACACGTAAGCACAGGAGGAAACTGAAGTCCGGAGGAGCTCAGGCGCATGCCCAAGGTGTAGCTAGTCCACTGCGGAGCTGGGATCTGCACCCAGCCCTGCCCAGTCCCAGCACCTCCATCAGCTTTAGCCCTGAGCGCCCGTCCCATTCAGGCGCGGAGCAGATGTGCGTGTCTTTATGGAGAGGGTCGGGAAGTCCGAAAAGCCTGCACTCAAGGAGGAAAATTGTTCACTTTTGCTTATTTTGTAGCCAAAAGCTGGGTCTCTTGGATCGGGTTCGCCTTTCTAATCCTCGTGGTAGCAATACTAAAGGAAAGCTATTTACCCCTCTGAATGTAGATGCCATAGAAGAAAGTCCTTCTAAAGAGCCAAAGCCTGTTGGCTTAAACAATAAAGAGCGTTTCCGCACCGCCTTCCGCATGAAAGCCTACGCTTTCTGGCAGAGCTCCGAAGGTAAGGCCTGTCCTCGCCCCTGCCCGAGACCCCTCCCTCCCTTCCTCTCTCCCTCCCTCCCTCCTTCCCTCCCTCCAACTCTCCCCCACCTTGAAGTACTCTCCAGTCTGCAAAGTAGCCCATCCCCTGCCCTCCCTCAACCCACTGCTCACTGCCTCCTCTTTACTCGAGGTATCTATGACTCATCCCCACAGCTTGAAGGGCAGGGGGCGCCCAGGTAGCTGTTCCTGGGCCATAATCACCACACTCACCTGCGCAGACGCGGCTGGGAGCTTGGGGGCCTGTCACCATGGTCCCTCGGGTGGCAATGATGAGTGCATGGCCATGGAGTCCACGCGAGAGATGGAGAGGGGCCGGGTGCAGAGTGATCGCAGCCCTGGGGCCTCAGCACCCTCAGGGGTGGGAGGATGTGTCAGAGAGCAGCCCTCAAGGGTGTAGGAACAACACCTCTGTGTTCCCTTTCACTTATGGAAAGAGGATAAGTAGGGCTCAGAGTGACCTCCCCCAAGGTAACAAGGCTGAGGACTTGAAAGAGCAAGAATGTGAACTAATGCCCACATGTGTGACCTTTGCTGCCACCCTGGGAACTCAGAATGCACGTCCTGAACTGCAGGCACCCGTGGCTCAGACTTCTGGGTAATAGGAAGGGATGCTCAGAAAGGCTGAGTGACCTCACAACTGGAGGACCCTGCGGGGTTCCCGGAAGTGGGAACAAAGACCCTGGAGGCTGAGCCGGGAAGGCTGTGGCTGAAGGAGGGCCCTGAGCCTCTGCAGGTGCGGTGGCCACCGTTGATACACGTGTCTCCCTCCCAGATGCCGGGACAGGCGATCCCATGGCCGAAGACAGGGACTACGGGAATGACTTCATCGAAGACATGATCCCCACCCTGAAGGCCGTCATCCGAGCCGTGAGGTGAGGCCCCACCTCCCCGCCCGTGGCCTCCCCAGGCCCCAGCTCTGTCCAGGAAAGGGCTTTGTAAAGTGCGCTTGGCTTTGGGGAGGTGGGCGGGAGGCCCCTGGAGTAACACAGAGGCAGATGCAGAGTCTGTCCATACTCTAAGGGGATGCTGCCTGAAGACAAATGATTGTACATCAGCACGTCGTCATGGGGTGTGCTACCCCTTAAAGCAGTGGTTCTCAACCTTCCTGATGCCACGACCCTTTAATACAGTTCCTCATGTTGTGGTGACCCCCAATTTCATTGTTACAAATTGAACATAATTAAAGCATAGTGATTAATCACAAAAACAATATGTAATTATATATGTGTTTTCCGATGGTCTTAGGCGACCCCTGTGAAAGGATATTTCGACCCCAAAGGGGTCGAGACCCACAGGTTGAGAACCGCTGCCTTAAAGGAAACTTTGATTGGAAGGCCCTTGCCAGGTGGCCCCGTTAGTTAGAGCATCATCCCAGTAAGCTGAGGTTGTGGGTTCAATCCCCCTTAAGGCACATACAAGAGTTAGTCAGTGATGCATAAATAAGTGGAACCACAAATCAGTGTTTCTCTCCCTTTCTCTCTCTCTCAAATCAATTTAAAAAATAAAATATATCCTAAAAACAACTGTAATCAGGATACAGGCTTGTAGAAAGTCCACAATTCACTGCCACAGTGAATTCTAGACACTAAGTTGATTCTCCAAGAGCCAGTCATGGTACTTGCAGAAGGTCCCAGTGCAGTGAGTCAGGGAGTGTTATCTTACGTGGACCTCAGCAAAGCCATTGGCCTGCTTTCTCGTGACACCATCGTGTCCAGTGTGACCGCAGTGCCACTGGTGAAGCACAGCTCCTGGCTTCCTGCCTGGGGGAATGATCTCCCTCAAGAAGACCCAAGGAGGGATCTGCCAGCCTGGAGGGAGGCCTGTGCTGCCATGCTCCCCGGTCTGCCTTCTGTCCTGTCCTTGTAACGTGTTCACTGATGCCTTCGTTCAGGGTGGGCAGGCTTTTTTCTGTAAAGAGCCAGATAGTAAATTGGTTACGCTTACTCAACTCTGACTGTGTGGTGCTGGAGACAGTACATACATGCATGGTGTGGCTGTGTTGCAGCATAACTTTCAAACCAGGCAGTGGGCGGGTCTGGCCTTGGAGCCGCAGTTGGCCGACACCTCCCTCAGATGGAGGTGTGCAAAGGGCAGGCTTATAAAAGGACACGAGGTTGGAGGGGATGGCAAGACAGTCGGATGGTTTAATCAATATGTCAGAATAGTGCTGAGGGACTGGAGCCATGGGCTGTGACAGAATGAACTTTGCATAGTGACCATAGAAAGGCCTGTGTGAGTACTAGATGGGGTCAGCTCTGTTTCCTACCGCTGACCTGCGATTAGGGGTTTTAGTTGCCCCATCTCAGTGGGCACTGGCCTCAGCATGGGCTTCAAGGAGCATTAGCCATCCTGGTGACTGTTGGTCCCCAGGAAGATGGAGGTGAGGGCTTGGCATCTATGAGTCGTGGATGCCCCCTTTACTAAGAGCCTGAGAAAACTTGGGGAACAGAAGCTAGTTTCTCTTTGTGAGGAGCTTACAAGCCAAAGGATTAAAAGGGCGATTCCAGAAGAGAGATGTCAGCTGTGTGACTCGGGCCTTGTCAGCATCCAGACCTGGTCTGAGGCGCTCCCAGGCTTTTGGCAGGTGGCCCCGCCCCGGGAGGTGCCCGAGCTCTCGGCCACGGTCTCACCTTCCAGAAAGCGGTCTGTCCGCAGATTGTTCATGAAACACTCAGCTCAGGGCCTGAATGAAGACTCGGGAAATGTTCGCTCGCATGTTACTCTGATGTTCTTAGTATGCAAATGATTGAAGGGAGGCACCAAGGCGGAGAGGTTCTACCGGCCTCGTCTGTGTGGCTCGAAAGGCTGGATCCAGGACCCGAATCGGAACGTCTCCCCATCAAGTCCTTTTCTCTTGGGTTCTCTCTTCCCCCACAGCCCCCGAGTTTGCTAGTCTTGAGTTAGAGTTTCTCTACGCGTGACACACACACGTCTCTACTTCGCCTTACAGGATTTTACAGTTCCGTCTCTATAAGAAAAAATTCAAGGAGACGCTGAGGCCGTATGACGTGAAGGATGTGATTGAGCAGTATTCCGCAGGGCACCTCGACATGCTCTCCCGGATCAAGTACCTTCAGACCAGGTAAGACGGCCGCACGTGGGAGGACGGTGCCTCCTGACCTCTAAGGAGCCCACGCCAGGTGGAGCTCAGAGCGGAGCGTGCAGGCCTTCAGAAAGCATCCGAAGTGCAGAGAGAAATCTGAGGAACAAATAAGTCCATCAAGCACTGCGGATGCCAGAGCCAACCAGCTCCAGGTCAAGCAGGCTGGGAGGAAGCTCGGTGACATTGACACGGCCAAGGTCAACCCCCTGATGGGGCCTCATGGCAAGAAAGCATATGTCCGACTGGCCCCTGGCTGCGATGCTTTGGATGTTGCCAGCCAAATTGGAATCGTCTAAACCCAGTCCAGCTGGCTAATTCTAAATATAAATTTTTCGTCGTGTTGAAAAAATGTGCATCAGATGTCAATCCTAATAGCAAACATATGGAAACAGCAACAATGCCCAACTAATTGCCACCATATTGTTGACCACCTGGGTGCTCTGCCTATATGTGTCTAATCCCTTATCAGCCTGTGAGGCAGAGCGTTAAAGGCGCCATTTCACCAATGAGAAAACCAAAGCTCAAAGGGCAAAGGACTTGCCAAAACTTACCCAGCCAGGAGGTGGCAGAGCTGGAGAGCAATCCAGGTGCGACTGGTTGCCTCGCTCCTACTCTCTCTAACAGCCGCACCTCCTCAGTCACAACACAGACCAAGAAAAGAACGTAGCCCAGCCTTCGTGGCTCAGTGGTTGAGCACCAACCTAAGAACCAGGAGGTCACAGTTTGATTCCAGGTCAGGGCACATGCCTGGACTGCGGGCTTGATCCCCAGTGTGGGGCCTGCAGGAGGCAGTGGATCAATGATTCTGTCATCATTGATGTTTCTATCTCTCTCTCCTCCTTTCCTCTCTGATATCAATAAAAATACGTTTACTTAAAAACAAAAAGGAAAGAACAGTACCTGCTCTCATTCAAGTTATGTAGCCATCAAATGACATTTGCAAAATATATATCATGCGGTAAAAAAATTATATGACCTATGAATATATTAGTAGCCATAATATGATTACTAATGCACTCAGCCCTAGATATGCACACTTACACATGTCCATATGCATGATTGTGTATGTGATTATATTTAGACATGTGACTTTATCCTCTGATGGCCAGAGATGCCTCCCAGCAGCAGAGACCTGCAGAGCCAAGCACAGAGCCTAGGGTGTGGCAGGAAAGGCTGCCTCATCCGATGAGCTGAAGGCCAGCTAGGCCTGCGGGGCACAGGGCATTTCCACTGAGAAGTAAGGAGACGCCTCCCTCACCCTGTCTCCATGGCTGGCCACCTCTCTCTCCCCTGGCATGGGGACGATGCCCTCGACACCAGTGGACCAAAAAAAGATAATTTGAGATCACACATTTTCTCTTTTTCTTTCTCTCTCCCTCCCCCTCTCTCTTTTCCCTTTAATTCCATATTCCACACCCACACCTGACAGGAGGGATTAGAATGAGTTGCTTTCCTCTCTGCTCATGTAAAGCGCCTTGTCATTTAATCCCCTCACTGTGTGTTCTCTTCCAGAATAGATATGATTTTCACCCCCGGACCACCATCGACTCCGAAGCATAAGAAGTCTCAGAAAGGGGCAGCGTTCACCTACCCATCCCAGCAGTCTCCCAGGTGGGGTCTGTGCACAGTGACGGACAGGCTGTGGGCGCCACAGTCCCTGGGGCGTCCCCGTCCCCGAGTCTCAGTGGTTGCTTTCTGGTCGGGTGAGGTTGCCGGTCCCCGAATGGAGAGTTTGAGGGCTGTTCTGATTTGTGGCCATTTGAAAGGTTTCTGTGCAAACCCTGACCTCCCGTCTCTACGCAGACCACGTGGGTGACACTTTGTTTTATGGCTGTTGAAAATGAAAAGCATGGTTTCTTTTTTATAAAATAAGAGGTTTTATTGGAGCCAGTAGAATACTTCATAGTAGCAGAACTCGGCACCCATCCACTCCCACTCCTACCGCGTCATCTTTCACGCCATTTTCTAGATTCCGCATGTTTTCCGCTCTTAATAAGATGGGACGGATGAAATGCTGACCCCACGGTATAGAATTTCAGAGGTTAGACCCCTCCCTGCGCCCCACCACGCACACTTAGAGGAGCTCCCAACCAGCAGCCTGAGACTGAAGCCCAAGGACAGTCAGGAGCTTGAGTCCCTTCCCCAGCCCACATGCGCCTCCGGGATTGAGAGGCCTTTTCCAGCTGCACAAGGTTGCGCGTGGGAGTCATGGCTCCTGGGACCATGGCCCGCAGAGCTGAAGCGACCTTGCACAGCAAAACCAGGTGTAACAATCTTATAGGCCTGTTGGCTCTTTCCTAGGAACGAACCCTACCTAGCCAGAGCATCCACATCAGAAATGGAAGACCAAAGCATGATGGGGAAGTTTGTGAAAGTCGAAAGACAGGTAGGTCTTTCCTTTTCTGAACCAAAAATCCAGCATATAAAATTGCTTTCCACATGTCACTTTCCTCCCATAGATCAATAACACACGTGAGTATCTACCATTCCAAAAAGGATGTAGAAATTCAATCCCGATTCCACAGTTGCTGGCTGGGTGATCACGTTCACATTAATGAATTGTCCTGAGCCTCAGTGGCCTCATCTGTAAAATGGGGATCTTAATCCTCCCTAAGCTTGCTGTGAAAACGAAATGAATTGATGCATGTAAATTATCTAGAGCAGGAGTGGGTATACAGAAAGCACTTAACAAGTGGTAGCTGTCATTCTGTGCTTCAGTGTTCCCTTAAGAAATGTTTGTTTCCTTCCCCCCATTCCCTAGATCCTTAAGGTTACCCGGGAGAAATGGCACTGTGAGTTGCTATTAGGATTTCTATCCATCCTTTTATTTTGTTCATAATTCACAACTGGATTGGTGCAGGAGAGTGAGGGAAAAGCTCAATGATTCTTCTTTTTTTGGCCTAAAAAGAATATCATTGTTCAGTTCTAAATTTTAATTTATATTTTAAAAGATCTCAACCCGTCCACTTACCAGCTCTGTGACTTTTGACAAGTTACTTCATTTGCTAGTGGCTCTGTGTCCTCGCCTTCAAAATAAGAGTGACACTAGTATTCACTTCATAGGGCTGTGAGAAATTAAATGAGGTCATATCTTGAAAGTGCATAAAGCAGAGTCAGATAGTAATGGCTATGTGAGTGTTAGTGACAGCTATTACCTAGTTCTGTGCTGTGCATCCTCATCGGTTGGAGGGGATGATACACCTGCCCGCAGTGCTTGCTTGGTGAGTATGACTTGTCAGGGAGAGAAGGTCTCACACACACATGCGTGCATGCACACATTCACATGCACACATTCACACATACATACTCACATGCGCACACACATATGCACACATGCGCACACAGGCAGGCAGGCACACACGCCGCACGCACACCAACATATGCACTCACAGAGATTAAATAAACCCCCCGTTTGGTAGGTAGGAGCAGACCCAGCTTATCTCTGTAGCTCCCACTGGCCGCCAAGGCCCCCAGGCAGGGTCTCCAGTTCTATGAAGCTCAATCCTTGCTCATCACCGCCCGCATCTTTGGGGCTCACATCACCTCGTAGGAGCAGCAAACCCTACAATCCACATACTTCTGGCTAAGGAAACGCTTGCAAATCAAGGACTCCCGCTCCTCAACCCACACGGCTGGCAGCCTGGCCCCTTCTCCTCCCAGGGGAGAGGGAAGGCCTGTAGCGCCTGTCCTCGCACTCCCCGCCTCCAGCCTTCGCTTAGGCTGCCTGGGTTACGTCTAGATTTGCACCACTTCGTGGGCAGGGCTTGCAATGGGGAGGCACGGACTAGTGGGCCATCAGCATCAGGACTTGCAGGATCCCTCATCCTTCCCGATAATTAAATGTGGTTGTAGCCTCTCCCGACAGGTGACAGGCACCCGCCCCGAGAAGGCAGTGATCCCGCCTCCTTGTGTTCCAGGTGCAGGACATGGGGAGGAAACTGGACTTCCTGGTGGACATGCACATGCAGCACATGGAGAGGCTGCAGGCGCACGTCCCCTACTATGACCCGGCCAAGGGCACCTCCCCGGCCGCGGAGGAGGAGAGAGGGGACCCCCGGGATTCTGAAATGAAAACCATCCTTTGCAACTATTCTGAGACGGGGCTCCCGGACCCGTCCTTCAGCTTCCACCAGGTGCCCATCGACAAAGTCAGCCCCTATCGGTTCTTCGCCCACGACCCCGTGGGCCTGCCCCGTGGGGGACCGGGATCTGGCAGGGTTCCCGGGACCCTTTCCTCTTCCACCCCGGCGTATATGGAGAGGCCCACCGTCCTGCCCATCTTGACGCTTCTCCCGTCCCCCACCGACCCACACGGCCTCCGGCAGAGACGCAGCTTCACTCGGGACAGCGACACCCCCCTGTCCCTGATGTCGGTGGACCATGAGGAGCTGGAACGGTCTCCCAGTGGCTTCAGCATCTCCCAAGACAGAGACGACGTGTTTGGCCTGGGCGGGGGCTCGAGCTGGATGCGGGAGAAGCGGTACCTGGCCGAGGGCGAGACAGACACGGACACGGACCCCTTCACGCCCAGCAGCTCCATGCCTCTGTCCTCCACGGGGGACGGGATCTCGGATTCCATATGGACCCCATCCAACAAGCCCGTGTAAAGGGGTCCTGGCTGCCTCCTTGTAATGTCCACAGACTCTGTATAGCTCACTTGCTCTCACGCCTGACACTCACCAGTGCGGTCCCCAGTGGCCACATCCGACGCCTGCATGTGCGTGATGGCCCCCAGCAGGGGCCGCCATGGCCTGTCCTCCCACGCCACCACCGTGAAGCCGCTTCCTCTCAGCATGGTCTGCATGCCCTTGCACTAGCTCCGTGGTCCACTCACCTCCTGGGGCCACACGCTCACCTGCTCTTCTTCTTTTTGCTCGCAATCGGACCAGTCCAGGGAGAGATCGCCCACGAGCTCTTCATCTGTCTGTCTGGTTGGCTGGTTTGGGTTTGAGTTTGGGTTTGGTAAGCAGGAAGGGCGTTTAGGTTCTTTCTCCGGTCACCACCCCTTTCTGTAAAACAGGCCCGTGGTTGGTCGGCTGTGTGTGAGAGCCGGCCACCAGTGCTCCCACATGCCAGTGAGGGTACCTCCTGAGGTCAGAGGTCAGGAGAGGAGCGAGATGGTCCCACATCTACACAACCAAGAATCTTCCAGATTGTTTCAGTGAGGCCCAGCCTTCCGAAAGCCGTCCACAGGCCCTCGCGTGGTCTGCCGTTGTCTAGTGTCACGCCTCAGTTTCCTCATCGTAAAAAATGGTGGTTGTCCCAGTGTAGCATTTCCGATGAGTTATGAGTTGGCGGGGAGAAGAAAACACACACATAAATTTAAAGAGCTCCCAATTCCTGTAGCCAAAGATGGTGACATTGATCAGAAGTGGGGTGCCCCTCTGCACAGCAGCCAAGTTCAGTGCCTTCAAAATGAGGTTCGCACTCACACCCTCCCCACGAGACTTTCACAGAACACCCATCTCAAGTGGAAACCGGAGTCATAGGGCACACGGCCTGTCTGGTCCACGTCTCTGTAAAACTGCGAAACCTTCGGCTCAGCTCAGTGACGTGCCCGGGGCCACGCCGTTGTCCCTGGAGAGCTGGGCCCCGAGCCCAGTCCGCTGACTCGCTCTGTTCCCTGGGCTCCTGGCTGCACCGCTCTGCCCTTCCTGCAGGGGACCCAGGAATTGTGCCAAGACACCTATACCCTGTGTCGTGTGCAAAGCACTTGCCACACAGTTTATCCAGGAGGAGGGGGTTGTCTGCTCTTATTTGCCAGATACACTTCCTGATGCGTTGTGTTTGGGATCCAGAAAAAAAAAATAGTACAGGAAAGCTACTTGTAATAGTAATTAATACGCAGATGGGCAAAATTTCCAGAACCATCCATTTTCACTCCTGCAGATTTTTCAAACCACTCCTAACCATGAGACAGCGGAGGAGTCAGCCCCCAGCCTGCAGAGCACTGCTCCCCTGTATGCGTCTCACCGTTAATCACAGGCCTCAGAAGCTTAAGAGGCTGTGGCCTCTTATGGGATGCCGCTGCTCTCTGAAACACTTTGATGGAAAAGGTTTCTGTGAGGTTTGGGCTGAATTAGCTAAATGACGGTTCTGCAGTGTTATCACCTCACCCTTTTCCGCGCATCTCAGCACTGGTTGAGGATGGTCGCCATGGAGACCATCAGGATGATTGAAATGGCATAAACAAATGTCTGCATGTAAGTGCCACTGATGTCCTCCCTCAGTCTTGTCAAGAGCCATCAGAGCCGTGGCAGACATCTGGTTGACGCCGTCATCATTACCCGACGCAGCGGCCTTACATTCTGCTGGAGAGAGAGGCTAGCTCCTCACAGTTCAGTTTCTGTCAACAGGGACTGTACCAGAGGCTCAGCATGCAGTGAGCAGGCAGGGCTGCTGCCTGGCTTGAGGAATTCCTGACAGGTAGAAAGGCCGTTTTACATGGAGAGTGCTCTGAATGGCTGGGTGTTGACCTTGAAGTCTGAGGTGGGAAATACACAAGAATGATCACACACATTGGATATGAAACCCCTCCCCATATGGTTTGCCTTTGACCTTCCAGCCATCTGAAGGGCAAAGGGCATGGCTCATTGGTTCTCTTCTCGGCTCCCCTCAACATGCCTGCCGGTGCCATTGGAGTTGACGCTGGAAAGCCTAAGCCCCTTCCTTAGGGCTTGGTCCTTGATTCTGACCTCCTGGGATCTTTCACCAGAAACGATGGAGCCACCTACCATCTAACATATTACTGTGTTCTTTTTTTATGTATGAGTTATTTGAAACAAAAAAAAAATGGAGAATCAATCAAACAATCTATATAGGCACCAGTTATTTCCCCCTAAATTATTAATATTCTTGAAGAACCTGCTAAGCTTAGTATCTTACAAATAGATCCATTTTCCAGCAACTCAGTGGAGTTCTCAGCTGGAAGAGTGGGACTTCTCATCCTCAAGCTAACAGATAATTACCACGGGCCCAAGGTGAGAGGACTGCCTTAGGGTCTGTTAATAACTTACAAAGGAGGGAGCTTGTATTATTTCCCAAACCGCTGGCGGGCAGGCCAGCTTCCCTGCTGGCTCCTAAGGCCAGGATGGCAGGGACTGGGTTTGTGCTCCTCACCACCAGGTCTCCTACATGTGTATGTTGCCATTATCAGTGCAAAGACCGAATACATTTTTCATGAATGAATAAAGGACGAGACTCTTAAGAGCTATTCTTTCCCATATAAAAAAAAACAAACAAAGAAAAAATCTGAAATCCTTTGCTATCCTCTTTGGTTTGAAAAGCAAACCAAACCTGCTCAAGTTGCCTGCCCCTAGGCAATATCACCAACATGGCTGGCGTTGATGAAGCAGAAATTCAAGGTCTAGGATTGAACATAAGTTATAGGGAGAAAGTGTGTGCTTCCACAAAGATCTTTGTGTCAAAAGAACAGAATGATGGGATAATCCAACAGCATTGGTTGATAATGTGAAGGTTATACTATTTCAGATACACCAGTGGTTCTGAAGCTTGCCCAGGAAATTGCAGTTTGAGCAGAATCCCATGAAATAGTGACCAATTAATTCCATTATAAAAAGTAGGAATGATTTTCCCAAGTAAAACTATGGCCTCATTACACATATCCAGGCTCTGTGTGTCACAGTATGACACATGAGAATGTGAATAGGTCATGTTTTATCAGGATCAAAATGAATGAGACAAATTTACTTTCCCAGCATCAGGTAAAGGGATGTCATTGGGCTGAGAAGAAAGTACTTGATACCAAGTGTGAGTTCTGACTATCAAATACCAGCACATGAGGAAACACAAAATATTTTTTTTTAATGGTGAGAGAAAGAAACAACAACAAAAAAACCCACGCCAAATTGAGAAAGTTCTATTCACTAACTGCTTTTTCTGGGAACTGAGCTTAGATTTATTAGACATGACATTGATATTATGAAACTCTGGTTTTCATTAAAAAACCTATCTAGAAAACCCCAAGGTATACTATATTTCAAAATTAGCTAATTAATTGACAGTTGTGCATTATGCCTTGCCTATTTTGTGCCAGGCAGTTCCTGGACACTGTAAATTGAAAGAATAATTACTTGTAGGAAATCCTAACATAACAGGATCTACTCATAATTTGCCAAGACCATTCTCATAATTTGATGCCACTGTAATGACTGTAATAAAAACATTTATTTATTAATTTACAAGATTAAGCTGTGTGCTGGCTCTAGGCAATGCACTTGAAATTCAGAACTATGAAAACCACAGTTCCTGCCATCAAAAAGCTAGGAACTTGGTGGCCTCAAATATTGGAAGTCCCCTCAAACTATGTGTACCACCAATGGCAAGTCTCTGATTTCATCCCTGAAGAACACTCTACAGACAGGAATGTTTCCTAGCTTGGAGTCACTGGGAGAGAGAACATGGAAGAAATTGAGAGCAAAAATTCTGTATCAAAGCAGTAATGACCCCATCAACCCAGAGAAGACTGAATGGATTGAAGGGGGACTTTGAGTTTGGGTTCAATGCTTTGGACTTTACAGCCCCAGATAAGCACACATGAAGAAGGTTCTAGAGTACCTTGGAAGGTTCTGGGGGGCAATCAGGGAACAGGTTTTTCCTCTCAACATCCCTATGAGGATTGAGTTCTGGCAAGTCACTGAGCTACTTTAATTTAATTGTGTTGACCAAGAGAAGCATATAGTACAGGCCCAAGACAGCATCCATTACAAGAGAAAGGTGGGGCTACGTGTGGGGTCTGCTGATCAGATTCTTCTGGGGCAGGAGAAGAAATTTATCCAGAGCTCTGAGAAGCAGCTGCACTTCGGAAAGTGCTGCCAAGCACACGCCAGGCTCCCCCCAGAAGGTACCACGTAGCTGGTCTGTTTTCCAGGAATATGCTTCCGAGGCGTCTAGAACCAAGGCCTCAGCCTCCACATAGCACATGCGTTTCAGGGGGAAATAAGTTAAAATGAGCTCTAGATACAAGTGACCTGAGTGTGACTCCAACGAAGCCGTCGGAAGCCTCGCCCAGTGCTTGGGAACATACTCGTCATTCCTCTTGGACTTGTCAAATGAAGGAAAGTTTGATGCCGAAGAGTAATGAAAACTGAGCCTGTTCTTCAATGTTTATTCTCCTCTGCCCTCAAGACGGAGGCCAGGGAAGGGGGAACTGACCCTAAGCTCTCTCCATGAGTTGCCAGCGATGTAATAGTTTTCTCTTAGTTTTCTCTCTTGACTTCATGCAATCCTTATTGCAGCCCAGAGGGGAGGTGTATGGTCCGCATCCTATAGGTGAGGACACTGAAGTAGGCAGGGGAAATACCGTGCCATGGGTCACTCATTGTAAGAGTAGATCTGGGATCATCATCAAAACCCATGTACCTCCAAAGCTCATTCTCCCCCAGCCACATCTCCCAGGAAAAGCTGCCAGATCTCGCCCTGTGGTCCTTCACCACCTTGCCTTCCTCCGTCCGGTCAGCTTTCTAGTAAAATGATCACAGACCCATTGCTTCCCTGGAGGAAAGAGAGAGTTCAGTGTTGGTTGCTCCACTTGGTTATTCAGCGGGTCCTGCCTGTTGCTTTGAGTGGTTTCACAAGCCAGCTTCTGTCAGTGGCAGAAAACAATGCCACATAAATCATTCATCGGTTCATGTTGGAACCCATCGGCTCTTAGAGTTGGGTGTGGCTGCAGATAATCCCCTGAGCACCCCTTGTTCTCGGTTCCCAAGGATCTCCTGTCATTGTTTTAAACAAGGTCAACTGTCCCTCTTGACTCTGGTCTTCTGTGTCTAGACTGTACCTCTATGTCAGGTCTTTGAAAACCTGCAGAAACAGGTGAATCTTCAAAAACACTCTGTGTTTCTCTTTCTTGATGGGAAAAGATCAAGGTTCCCAGGAGAAGCCAACGCTCTGGGGATGGGGCCTTCTTCCCCCTCTGAGTACTTTTTCAAGGAGAGGAGAGCAGCACCCCCTTCCACACGCGAGGGCTGTGTCCAGGCGGGAGGCCAGGTTCCAAGATGGGTGGAGTCATTTTATCAAGTGTCATCAAGTGTCGGAGGTTTTGCTGCTGGAGACAAGAGGCAGGCTCCATCTTGAAAATCCCCGTAGAAAGATGGGCCAATTTCATCAGATTTGTCCATCATTCCATTTTAATGAGAAAAATGCTCTCTATGTTGCTTCTGATGTGATATGGCTGTTCTTTTTTTCTCTTTCTAATGTAGCAGTGATGGAAAACAGAGACTCGCTGTATTTGCTTTGGGATTGTATTTTCTTTAACCCCCTTTTACGGCATAGAAATCTGGTGCCTTGCTCCCTGAAATTGTCTCCATGCTATGAGTATGCTTTCTTCACCTTCTGGCTTACACGGGAACATTCCACAAGTGGCCTTTAGTGCTCTTTTAATATCATTTCCTATGATTTTTAAACTGTACGTGTACTTTATATTCTGGCTCCGTCCAATATTTGAACAACTTTAATAGGTTGATTTCCATATATATTATGCAAATAATTCTTACCTGATTTTTTATGTTCTCTCTTAAAACAAGTAAATACTGCACCACTTATTAATAAATAGACATTTCAATGATTATGTGGCGGAATGTTATTTGCTTCGATGATGACAAGGAGTGACAAGAAAAGACAATTTGTTATTGGTTGCAGGTGGGGCAATGAGGGAGACTTGAGTATATTTGTAAGACGTGAGGAAAGAAGCAGTTGAGAGGGAGAGAATAAACGAGAAAGAACACGGTGATGGAGTGAAGACCCAGAGGAAGACGGGTGAACGCTCACAGCCGTGAAGAGCGCGCTGTGTGGGCTGCTCATTTCCTTGGAAGCAGCCACTGTGCAGGCTGTGGACGTACAGGGTTTAATAAAACCTTATCCAATTATTACCGTTTTAAGACATTACTACTCCCACTTTACAGATGAGGAAATCGAGGCCCAGAAACATCAAAGGACCTGCCCAACGCCAGACACTAGTAAGTGGAAGAGTCACACAGACCCAGGACCTCCTGCCCCTGAGCCGAATGTGACTTCCTCTGGAGAAGGTCCGCCCCCTAAGCCACAGAGGAGGAAAGCAGGGTGACTCGGAGAGAGTCAGAGGGAGGACGTCAGCAAAGGTCATATCAGACCCCCTCTCCTTTGTCAGTGTAACAGGAGGAGGTGTTTTCTCATGAGAGGGTGAGTTAGGGTGGGAACCTCAGGGTTTGTGCCTTAATTTGTCACCTGTAAAGTGGGGCGAGTACTGTCTACCTTGAACGGTCGTTACTGGGTTGATGTGAGTAGAGAACTTAGGATCCAGCACACAGCACATCCTCAGTGAGTAACTGCTTGCGACCTTACCCTTGCCCTCAGGCCCGGGCTCCACAGAAAGAGAGACAGGTGCTGGTGCAGAGTTTATTTGGGAAATGATCTCAGGAAACGCAACTGAGATGGTAAGGCGTGTGGTGGAAGGGCCAGTGAAGAGTGGGCTCAATCCACCAGGAACCCTCTAAGGACCCACATAAATGCACCTCGGAATTGTCCCACCTTGGGCAGGAGTCTGGCCGCTCCTCCGAGTGCTCACTCCTCTTCTTTAAATGCCTCCCTCTGACAGGCTTCCCTGTGCGACAGTCAGGCCAGCTCCGAGGAGCAGGAAGGCAGGGCCAGTGGCGCTGGGGGCTGTCAGTGCGCTGCGACCCACCTAGCGCAACGGCAGGTGAACTGGGGTGGGGGGAGGGCACTCGGGGTGGGGTATCAGCATCTGGCGCCTGCGCCCACCTGAAATCCCTACATTCACAAAGGTAAACAGAACCGGCCAGGTTGCCCCAGTTCACGCTCTAAGTCAAAGCCAGCACTGGGCAGCCGAGCCATGATGCCCGTGGGCATGACTCATGGCGAAAACAGTGCTTTAGCCTCTAGGAACCCGAGCAGATGATGCTCTTCTGGTACAAGGTCATGATCCAGCTCCGGGGCCCACATCTGTCATCAGTACGCCCGAGGCCGACTTTGCCATGATGAGCAGAGCATCCACTCTGGCTACCATTTATTCCCCCCCCCAACCAAACTCCCCCGTCCCCAGCCTCCTCCGTATGACAGGCAGAGAAAGAGCCTAAAAGTTATATCCCTGAGAAAATGCCTCCCCATCTGCACAAACGGAGCAAGCCCATTCACAGCCTCCAGTCCCAGATACCCCTGGGACAGTTACTGTTCCCAGTAATGTCCGTTTCCAACAATGAGCCGGAGCATCCAGGTGACCTGGGACCCAGTGGCTTTCCCGGGAAGACGTGTAAGGTGTCTCCCCTGAGGAACGACCCCATTGTCCTTGTACCCTGCCTCCACCTCGATTATGGAAAGGAGCCCGCCCAGCGGTGTACCTCCTGGCCCTGGGCAGGTCAGCCTCAGGCCAGGGGAGTCAGCAGAGAGGAGAGGAGGAAGATGCAATCAGAGGAGCGACAGGACAGGTCACGAAGGGCCTCGTGGGCCATTACAAGGACATTTGCTTTGACTCTGAGTCAGACAGGAAGTCACTGAGTAGAGGGGTGACAAGATCTGATCTTTGCTAACGGGTTTCTCTGGCTTTTGTGTTGAGAACCTGAAGGAGGCGAGGACAGCAGCAGGGACATTAGTCAGGAGTGGTGTTGTCACTGACAAATCCATGCAGGTGAAAAGCAGATGGTTGCCTGGGGCCGCGGGTGGGTGGAAGGATCGACTGTAAATGGGCACAAAGATCTCACTGGCTGGCAAAAATATTCCCAAACTAGACTGTGTGATGGTCATCCAACTTGTCAGATTTAAAAATTACAATGAGTGAAGTTAACAGGATATAAATTACACCTCAACACAGTTGTTTAAGAGAAGATCTCACCTGGCCAGCATGGCTCAGTTGTTGAGTGTGGACCTATGAACCAGGAGGTCACAGTTCGATTCCCGGTCAGGGCACATGCCCAGATTGAGGGCTCGATCCCCAGTAGGGGGCGTGTAGGAAGCAGCTGATCAGTGATTCTGTCTCATCATTGATGTTTCGATCTTTCTCTCCCTCTTTCTTCCTCTCTGAAATCAATAAAACTGTATTTTAAAAAAAAGATTTCTATGGCTGATATAAGGGACAGTCATTCAGGGAACCAAGAGTGGTAGCAGGTGACAAGTTAGCAAGAATTTCAGAAGCCCAGACAAGGAAGACCAACCTTGAACTTGGGTGGTACAAGCAGAAGGAATATGACTGTGCAGGTTCTTCTAGGCCCGGGGTTGGCAAACTTCTCCTATAAAGGTCCAGAGAGTCAGTATCTCAGGCTTTGCGGGCCATGGGGTCTCTGTCCCAACTTCTCAACTGGCCCGTGGTAGCACGCACAGCCTCGGAGCGTAAGAATGAGCGCAGCAATGTGCCAATAACACTTTATTTGTAAACATTGGAATTTGAATTTCATATCATTTTACGTGTCACAAAATACTGTTCTTTTTATTTTTTCGCCCTAAACCCATTTGAGCCAGGAACATAGGCATCGAGGCCCAGGCTGGCCGCCCCGGCTCCGGGCACCAAGCGCTGCCTCCGCCCGCACGCCAGGGGCCGCTTGGCTCCCAGACCTTCCGACAGGAAGGGGAAATCATCGCTCAGGATCCCGCCTGCTCCTCCAATTCACATAATTACCGTCAGGAGCGCGTTCCAGCCCACGCTGAATCGCTGCTTTGTCATTCTGCTCACGATTCTATTCAGCCCCTAGCACCGCATTTTTCTCCAGTGAAGTTGATCCAGTTTCACCTCCCTGAGTTCTTGGTAGGATTATTATTCCACCCCCCTCCTTTCCCCCGCCCCAGGACTTAAAGCAAAATTATCAAGGCTTCCCCACCCCCGCCTCCTCCTGTATCTTTCACTAAGAACTCATATAAACCCACAGCTCTGCCTGAGCTGCTAATCTCTCTGGCTGCTGAAACCCTTTGAAGCTGCTGATCCTGCTCAAGAGACAGGTAAGTCATACACTGTGGATACTCCAAAGCCCTCCGGCTTCCTCCCCCCCCCCCCCCCCAAAGCGTGGAGGCAGGGAAGAATGCATCTTCCATGGACCCCAAAACCTAGGCTTCTGGATGCTGAAAAATTAGCAGGAGGAAACTGGGCGTTCTGTCACCCAATACCCATGTGGCACTTGTCTGAGCGTTAGTTTCCTCAAACTATAAAATAAGGGTCATCAGCCCGGCCCGCGTGGCTCAGTGGTTGAGGGTCAACCTATGACCCAGGAGGTCACAGTTCGATTCCTGGTCAGGGCACCTGCCCGGGTTGCAGGCTTGATCCCCAGTAAGGGGCGTGCAGGAGGCAGCCGATCAATGATTCTCTCTCATCATTGATGTTTTTCTCTCTCTCTCTCTCTCTCTCTCTCTCTCTCTCTCTCTCTCTCCTTTTCTCTCTGAAGTCAATAAAAATATTTTTAAAAAACAAAATAAGGATAATGACAACCAAGTAGGGTTGCTTCGAGGACCAGTGGGAGGCCACGTGGAAAGTTCCTGGCACAGCAGATGGTCAACAAATACTAGATTCTGCACCTCGTTTTCTGCGTCAACTATCTTTGAAAAGGCAGAACTATTGCTGGGAAGGGGGCCTGGCCCTGCCGGTCTGCCCGGGGCAGGAAAGATGTCCCACAGCACGAATCCAGGTGGCTTTGAAAGTCTGTCTATGAAAGCTGGGGACGGTGAAGCAAGGAAGGGCCAGGATGGAAGAAGCCTCAGGAGCGCCCAGGCCAGGCTGCCCTGGTCCCTGGGCGTCAGAGAAAAGGGGGCCTTGGAGACAGGTTCAGGGGGTGAGCCGGGGCGAGCGGCCGCTGCCCATTGCTCTCCTGTTTGCAAGTCTCCTGGGTCCCTTAGAGTTTGGGAAATGCAGCCTGTGGGGGAAGGGGAGGGGGAGGGAGAGGGTGCTGGGTCCTCCGTCCTAGGGCTTTTAAGGGTGGGATTTCAGGGGAGGCCTCAGGGCAGGGTTTCGGCAGAATATTCCAGGTGTGCCCTGTCAGGGTCATGTCCTCCACTGATTGGTCAGCGCCAGGGCGGTCATTAGTCATGGCAGCTGGTCCTGGTTTTGCTACTTTTCTGGGCCTGGGACTGAAATACAGCCGAGGCCTAGATCAGTGGTTCTCAACCTTGGCTGCCCATTAGAATCACCTGGGAATCTTTTTAAAATCCTGATTTCTGGGCCTCATCCTCCGGAAATTCTTTCTTTGTTACTAATGTCGTGGCCCCACCCCATCACAAAGAAACAGAATTTCCAGAGGATGAAACCCAGAAATCAGGATTTTAAAAAGATTCCCCAGGTGATTCTAATGGGCAGCCAAGGCTGAGAACCACTGGCCTAGATGTCAGCTCCAGGGAGGCGGCCTTCCATATCTGGCTGTAAGTCGCTCGGCCAGTCTGTTCAGCCACCTGCCTCAGTTTCCCCGATCCACTTGGCAAGGGATTTCCCTAGCTGCTTCCTATGCTGCCTCAGAACCTCAGCCTTCAGTCTTGTCGGCCAGGCCTGAGTGTGCAGCCTGGGCTGCCGCTCCCCTGTGGAAGGACCCTGGGCCAGTGGTCTGGCCCCCCGGATCCCCTGGGTCCCCCCTCAGGAGGAGGGAGCTGACACTTAGGCTG